TCAGTGAAGAACTCAAAACTCGTAATCTAAAGATTCTGCGAAGATGAGTACGATGAAGTTTTGTCGCGAATGGTAAAAAACAAAAAAACGAATCTTTTCTTTGCTCTTTTTATACGAATCTTCTGCAAGTTCGTCTGAATCCGAAACCCAGTTCCGAAATCTTCGAAATTTAGTCTGAATCTTAGTTTATTTTGTTCGATTATGATGTTTTCTCAATTGGGTTTGTTGTCAATTCGATTAAAGCTTCGATTTTTTTCCTCCATCTTTCGCCGTTTGATGAACATTTGATAATTTTGTTTTCAGTAATAACATTCTGTATCCTAAGGAAGACAGAGAGCAACCGAGACTTCTCTACGCATGCCGTAATTGCGATCACCAGGTAATATACTTTGATTTATTGCTTTCTATTTTTTTATAAAATTAGGGTTCCATGGCTCTATGAATCAATGTGTTGCAGAATAATCGTTCAATGGAGTTTGTTAGTCTTCTTCTCTAGCTTTGAAACAAATCGATCGACTTTATTTGAAACTCTTTTGTTCACTTAGATTTCTGTAAGAGGTTCATTTTATAAGCTTTTGCTTGTTGTTTTGATAAATAAATTGATGGACTTTTAAGCTTTTGCTTGTTTACTCTTTGTAATTCTCTTATTTGGTTAAGAATCGAATGCTAGATCTTGAACTTGTGCAACCAATGAGCCTAATTGGTAAAGGATGATGCTTGTCAATAAAGAGTTCATTGAGACCTTCTGAACAAATGCAAGACTTTTAGAAACTCTAAAAGGGATTAGATTCTCTTCGAAAACCACTTTGAGTTCAACGATTTTACATTGTTTGCACAAGCTTTTCTTGTTACGCAATTTCTTACTGTGTCTGTGTTCTGTTTGTTAATACAATTATCAAGCCTATGTAAGATCCTGAAGCTCTTGAGATTCTTTATGAATGTTTGTATTGCCTTTTGAGCTTAATGCCGGTTTTGCTAACCGAATTTGTTAGCTAGATTAGTGTCCTGTTTGTTATGAATCTACAAGTTTCTGCAGTTTATAGTTTGTGGCCATCGGTTTTGCAGGAAGAAGCGGATAACAACTGTGTTTACAGAAACGAGGTTCATCACTCTGTAAGTGAACAAACTCAAATCCTATCCGATGTCGCTTCTGACCCAACGCTTCCGCGCACCAAGGCTGTCCGCTGCGCCAAGTGTCAACATGGCGAGGCCGTCTTCTTCCAGGTGATTAAATTATCTTAAAAGCTTGATCTTGAATTCGTTATTGGTCAAGAAGTAAAGAAATCATTTCTTTTCTTATCCATAAACAGATTTCTTCCGTTTTGGTTTTTGTTATGCCACTTCTACATTGCCATATCTGGCTATTCGGTAACTAGGGTGTTTAAATTGAATTTGCAGGCTACGGCTAGAGGTGAAGAAGGAATGACTCTGTTTTTCGTTTGTTGCAACCCGAATTGTGGCCATCGTTGGAGAGAATAGAATTTTGAGATGATTACAATTGAATCTAAATGTGACGTGTTCCTGACTTCCTCGTTAAGAGTTTAATACATTCAACTTTGGAGTTTTCTGTGTACAAATATGAATACTGTGGGGCTGTTCCTCGAGTTCTTGAATTTTCAGGGTCTTTTTTGATCATTTTTGTTTTAATTGGGACTAATTATGAATTTATTGATCTCTGTGGGGTCGATTTTAAGGTTTCTCATTATCCATGGGTTTAAATTTAAATACTGGAAATTAGCAGAATTGGTAAGCTTTCTAGTTAGCCGCCGGCTGCTCTAACTTTGCTGTAACGTGTGATATTATTAGAGTTAATAAATCTATTAATCTAATATTCTAAATAAAATCACTATAATAATCATGTGTTTACTACGTAATCATTTCGAATTATGTTATAAATGTCAAAATTATTTTAAATTGAAGTTTATTTTCAAATGAATCATGGTATATAATACACGATTTCATGATTAGGTTTAGAAAATGGATTTTGCATTACATGATTGAAACTTTTTCGCAGGCTGCTTTCAAATATAATATCAAGAGTTTGGGATAATAAGTTTATAACCTTATCTCAATTTGAGGTTTTTCCCTTTTGTTATCAAATATGAAAAATTCACGTTAGCAAAAAATTACTCAAATGGGTCCACCACAAAGTCAAAATATTCAGTAACAAAATCATCATGAGTGGAATTATACTTGGTCTAAATGAGTACGTAAATCTAGATTTAAAGAAGTTAGAAGTTGTTACACGTAATAAGATAACATCAAATTCAAATGTCGACTATTAACGAATTAATTACA